TCAGTCATTGTTCGGACACTTTGGATAATGCTAATGTCGACGATACTGTAACTTTTAAGCTTCATCACTCGAGATTTACTTAATCAAAAAACATTTAATCTATGTGTTTTGGAAAGCTCTCAAAATAAGCTAGAAGAATATGTAATGAAAAATGGGAGATTCCATTAAAAAAATTCAAAGTGACCTTGTCCTAACCTTGACGACGCCACTCAGAGTCAAACCAATGTTATCATCTTATGTCCCCCTCGAAGTCCCAAAACTTTTGTCTGAAACATTTTTCTCTCAAACCTCGCGATTTCCAAATATTTGACTGTCAAATATAAAATGGGACACTCTATATATTTATATCTGATTGTATAATAAATGTCTGATTGTATTATTATTTATACTTCTTTGTAATAATCTTTAATATAATATATAATATACGTTTTAGGGGAGGTTGTGATACCTAAAGCTACAGAAATCGTTATTGCAATTATAAAAATACACCGAGACGAAAAATTTTGGCCAAACCCAATGGTGTTTGACCCTGATAGATTTCTCCCAGAAAGAATAAAGGATTGTCACGCAAAGGATTGTTATCTCCCGTTTAGTGATGGACCGAGAAATTGTATAGGTAGGAAATAAATAAATTATTAAAATAAATTATAAAGTCATGATAAAATTGATACATAATTAATAAATTACAGGTATGAAATATGGATTGATGTGTATGAAAGTTATACTAGCAACATTGATACGAACATTCATCTTTAAAGTTAATAAAAGTATTGAATTAGATAAAATAAAATTGACACTTGGCATGGTATTATCTACTTATGAGCCTTTAAAAGTCAAAATTGAAAAACGAATTTTGCAATAAAATATAGTATAGAAATATATTAATTATCTAACATGTATTTTTGTTACAATATAATATTCTACAAACGTACTATAATACATATTACATATATATTACATGCATATTCTATTACATATTATATTACGATTGTATTTGATTTATTTTTTTAGTTTATAATATGTTGTAACATATGGAATATAATAATAAAAGGAGAAATTGAAGTAAACTTTTGAAAAGTTTTGAAATCCTGCTTTTGTTAATCTTTAACAAAACAATCAATTTGTTTTTATAAAAACAAATTTCATTTTTGAATAATAAAATATTCGCGACTTCTGCATTTAAATAATTCTAATAAAAATATTGCTGAAAGAATACTGAAAAAAATCTGCAATGTTGATAAAAATGAACTTGATACTTAGATCTGTGAACATTTAATATTAATTCCCATTTAGTACGGAAATCTTTCACAAATGTCAAAAAAATATTTCATCTGATGGATTAAAACATCTTTATAAATAATTATAAGATGTTTCTGCAACAGATGTAAAACAATTCTTGAATAATAAAATGTTCGCGACTTTTGCATTTAAATATTTCTAATAAAAATATTGCTGAAAGAATACTGAAAAAAATCTGCAACGTTGCAGGAAACGCGGCAATATATATTCTTTTGTGTCCCGGCGCAGCCACGTGTGTTCTCGAGGAGATCGGGGAATGCCATTGTAGACCGATACTCTCTCTCTCGCTCGCTCTCTCTCTCTCTCTCTCTCTCTCTCTTCTCTC